AGGCCTTGGACTGATTAGGGGCAAGGGGAGGACCTGGTCTACCATGGCAGGCTGTAGAAGGCCCAGACTGCTCCAATCCCGCTGAATCAGAGGTGTCCACCATCATTCTGGTTGACTGATGCACTAGCAGGACCTCCCAGTAGATAGGAACAGGTGCGATGTCAATCAGTAACTGCTGCAGCAGGTGGAGTCAATGGGCCAATTGAGGTGTTAAGCCGTAGAAAACAACCACGAACTAGAAGTGTTGTGCGGTTTGCAGATACTGCAGAGGAGGGCAAAAATGAAAAAAAAACCTCCTCTGTGCTGGGGTATGACTATAAAGGAGCCAAAAAACCCAGCTCCACCTAAGGTGACAAGGAAAAAAGGGGTAGTTGGAGTGGTAGTGACCAGACAGACCCCCGAACTGGGCCAGCTAGCCACTGGGCAGAGATCTACTTGGAGACAGGTAAGCGGGAGAAAGGACTGCCAGATAAAAAAGGCATGCAAAAAAATGGCCCAAAAAATGGCCACCATTCCTGTGGGGGGAAGGAAGGAGAGAAAATGGCTCCCGTGCTATTCAAAGGTGGCCAGAAACTCTCTGCGGCTCGTCGGAAGGCAAGCGAAGCAAAAAAAATGTGAAAAAACACTTCAAAGAAATGTCCGATGGCTCTCAGCAGCTGCCAAGAGTAATGCTGCCGCGATTGGGGCTAGTAAGCCCCCTACGAAGCTCCGCTGCTGTTCACGAACAGTGCAGCAGACAGAGCACTCCCCCCACGGCTGCTCCTACCTCAATTGAAGACTGGAAAATAAGGAGTTTGAAGGAGAAAAAAATAAGAGAAAAATAGAACAAAATACAACTGAAAGACCAAGGAAAAAAATAGGAAACAAAGGTAAATAAAAAGGAGAGTCCAAGCAATTGGTAAATTAGAAGCTGGAGCTCAATAAAAACTAGTCCAAATGGGCCAGACTGAGGAAAAAATCTGGAGTTGAGGATCACCAGGAGGCGTGGCCAAGGAAAAAGATTCCTCAGTCCTAGAGCAACCAGACTAATTTAACCCATTGCTTGGACTCTCCAAGCAATGCACAGGAAAAAGGCATTACATATATATTGCAATGTTAGTAAGAATTCCTCATCATGGATTAGTTTTTATTTTGCATGCGTTGAATAGATTCAGAACTGCTTAATCCATGAATAAAGTGTGCATGAGCAAAAAGAATAATGAGTAAATCAAATGTAAGATGAAAAAACATTTATAACTATCTTGATAATGCAAGATAGGAATTTCTGACAGTGTTTTGAACGAGATACTGAAGATCATGAAAAGCATCATAGGTATGCATATAGTAGACATGTCAGATTAAAAAAAAAAATTAAAGTGGGAAGTCTTGAGGGTTGGTGACCACTTAATATTTTGGAGAGCAAAATACAGAATAGGCAGATAAGGATGTATTTTTTATGATAATAAAAGATATTCTGCCTTTTAATCAGGAGCTCAAGGCAACATACCTAGTACAGTATTTTCCCCACAATAACAATCCTATGATGTAGGTTGGGCTATGTGGCGAAAAAAATTCCATGACCTTCAGCAAATGGTGTGTCTACTTTATATCATGTACAGATATGATATATAACCACAAGATTTCTGTTGTTAAGTGAGACAGTTGTTAAATGAATTTTATTACGTTTTATGACCTTTTTGCCACACTTATTAAGTGAATCATTGCAGTTGTTAAGTTAGTAATGTGGTTAAGTGAATTTAGCTTCCTCATTGACTTTTCTTGTCATAAGATTGCAAAAGGTGATCACATGATCTGGGGGACTGCAAATGATATAAACATGAGTCAGTTGCCAAACATCCGAATTTTAATCACATGACCATGGGGATGCTGCAATGGTTGTAAGTGTGAAAAACGGTCATAAGTCACTTTTTCAGTGCTGTTTTAACTTTAAATGGTTACTAAATGAACTGTTGTAAGTTGAGGACTACCTGTAACTGAACAGGCCTAGAATCTTTGGCTTTCTCTCAGGTTTTGGGACTGCCTTTTAAAAAATGAATTTTATTTTATTTTAGCACTTATATTTGTATGGGGTTTGCCTCAAATAGTAGGAAACCATGTGATTAATTTTCAGCAACAGAAGTAGATATTGAAGAAGAAAGAACATGAAAGAAAAAGGGGGAGGCCACAGGTTACTGATCCTCGATTCAAAACAATACAATCCTCAATCAACAAGTACAAACAGAAACTTTTGTTAGTCAGTAGCATGTTAATTGTTGGAAGAAATGTCCATCTGGGTTCAGTTCCAAGTGGGGAAAAAGACACTGGGAACATGGAGACTGCTTGAAAAGCTGGTTTAATGGTGGATAAGATCACATGGCTTGAGTTCTTGAGCAGACTCATATGGCTTGAATTCCTGAGCCGAAAAAGAGCCAAGACTCTGAGAGAGCCTGAGTTTTATACCCTCTGTTGGGGCCCCACTTCTCTGTTTCCTGTTCCTGTGTAAAAACTGTATTCTGATTGGTTGTCAGACTCCCAGGGGAGCGGGGGATCTTAGCTAACTTTGTAGGCTGTTCTGAGACCCAAGCTTGTTTGCCTTGCTGGCTGATGTAATCTTCCCAGGTGCCATGTGGTGAGTTTGTTTGCTAGATGGGTCCTCCTGAAGGAGGTAGATCTTTGTTATGTAGAATAGACTGGCCCAGGCCTTAATGGACTATTGACAAAGAAGAGGGGGTGAGTTCCTGCCTCCCTTTAGGGGGAAATATTCTGCCCTTTTAATATTTCCTAAAATATTTCATTTGCTAGTAGAGAGATGGGTGTTAACTTCCTACATTAATAACATACGTTTTTCAGAGAAAGAGACCCACAAACAATGAAGTATTATATATAAACTGGAATACCAGACTTTTTTTAAAATTCACAATATGTTGTCAATACATTAAACCAATCCTCAGTGCTCATTGTTACCGAGAACAGGCCACCAGAAATAGTGAGATACAATGGAGGGCAACCATGTGCAGTACAAAGAGTGCTTTAAAAGCTTCAATGGCAGATAGACATATTTAAAAGAGCAATATTTCTTAAAACTTGAAAAACGTATCCCACCTTAATGTTAATTACTATGCAATCACAGCTCTGATTTAGCTTTAAAAGTTTTTATATAATATGCTACAGAACCTAACTAAGTAGAATAAAAATAGATATAATCATGTTTAGATTAATAGCTGTTTTGTTATTTTTGTAACTGTAATGAAGACTGATACTAATATACTCATACAACAGTTTTTATTGAAAGTTAACTATGAATATAAGTTATTCTCTCCATAAAGAGTCAAATTATTTAGCTGACTTTTAGTTTAGTAGCCAAACTATAATTCTCCCCCTTTATTCCTTTCTTTTTCTCTCTGACCCGATTTACACAAAATAAAATCCAGCAGATATGCAATTTGTTTGCATTCCTTCACTTACAAATGGGAAAGGATGGATTTGGTCATATGTGCAGTTCTACAAAAACCAAGGCAAAACCTAATCGCTTTTAGGTCTAAGAATACACTGCTGAATCTGGACATGCTGGAGATACTACAAGCCAACATGTTTTCTTCTTTATTATGATCCTGAGAGATATGGATGCAGTAACTTAAACATTTCTCCCCCCCTCACCTTCTTTTCTCTCTGTCCCATTCACATACACAACAGCACAGAAGATGCATTCTTAGTTTTTTACTACTGTATATGAGTGTGCACATGTATAAAGGAACCAAGTTGCACAAATTTGTTTCATGCAATACTGGGCAATGCTATGTAGAAATTATTACTATATTAAGTTACAGCATGCCTAGGAAGTCTGAAATGTATCTGTAACTACTGTCAATTTTCTTTGTTTCAATTGCAACTGCATACTCAGATACTGTCATTAAAATTCTTCATCTTGATTATTGTCACAGTAAACAAATTTATTGGGAATATCCAGTGAGATATTAGAATCATGAGATAATGGTTATTGAACAACAGAGATGTTTGCCATTTCCTCAATTAGTAGAAATAGAAAAATTTGCAAACATAAACCCACAGTGACAACATACCTAGCAAACAAGTTATCACTGGAAGAGAGCATGGTAAAATGGAAAACTGCTCAGAATTCCAGCGAAGGGAGAATGCTTACACATTCCAAAGTGGCCAATAGGTGTCAGGCTTTCCCTGTTTCCTAGAAGTCACCTGAGCACACTCTTAAATGATTCCACTGGCAATCACATCTGAATCTATTCACCCTGCCACTATTATCGGTTAACAAGGAACACATCACTCTTTTACAGTTTAGTTGCAGTTCCAACATACTTTTCCTCCTAAGAAACTGAAGTATACCTAATCCAAATTCTTTGTGATAATGTTATTCTCAAAATAAAGAGCAGTTGGTGGGTTTTAACTATAATTTGAAAATAGCTTGTAATTTTACCTATCAAAATCTGATAAAATACAGTACAAATGTTTTCTGTAAAACTATTTGAAGTAAAAAAAATAGGTACAAAACTATAAAAAAAACATTGAGGAAAAATATAGACTAGAATAACAGAGTTGGAAGGGACCTTTGAGATCTTCTGGTCCAACCCGTTGCTCAGGCATGGGAAGGGGCAGAGCACGAGTGAGGGAAGCATGTGCACACACGTGGACACTCATATTTGTAAACTGTTAGGGAAGGTAAGTGAATTCCTCCGCTGATGTTAGCATCATTAATTTTATTATGGTTTTTATTATGAAATATGTTATCTAGGGTACTCGATAGTGAAAGAATTAAACACAAACAAAATATCTGAAAATATACTAATACATTACCTCATTGATATAATGATTCTTATTAATTCTTTTACCATGTTTATTATATAACATTTTAGAAGATAGTCAGAAAATGAGTTAAGATTGGTACTAAGCCATTAACCAAAAATATTACTAAGAGGAAAACACTTAGAATAGTAATTTTAAAACTAAAGATAAGCAGCATATTAACATATGTTACAAATTGATAATACCTTTTTGCTGCTGGTGATACAATTTCTTTCCTGGTTCCTGATGGAGAAGGTAGAGAACCACTAGATTTCTTTGGTAAGACAGTTCCATTATTGACAGTAGTCTTTAAAGGCAGTGTTTGAATTAATGGTCTTGCTGTGAATTGAAAACAAATAAACAAATAAATAAAAGCTGAAATTTACAAGTTCAGAAGTGCACACAATACTTGAAGTAAGACCTAATTATTGCAAAATAAAGTGGAAAGATGACTACTCATTATTTGGAAAGTTCTCTTGTGGCAAGTGGATATATATATTCAATTTGTAATTTATTACTACTGGAAGATCCTTTTCCACAACTGAATCTGCCATTCTATATCTGTGCATTTCTTTCTTTTTTCTAAATAAAACACTGCATTTTTAAGAAGTTGGTTTGCTATTTTCAAACAATTTCTTTGATTTATTGAGACCATTTCATTTTTTTAATATTCTAAACTCTTAATGAATCCATCCCATTGTATCATCTGCAAATCTGATAACTTCTCCATCTGTGTTATTAATAAGAAATGCTGAAGTATTTCTTCAGCCCAAGACTGAATTTCTAGTATTTTCACTCAATCCTCTACATCATTTTTATATAAAATCACTGAGCACAATCTTTGACAATAATTTGCAAGCTAAGTATCTAGTTAACTATCTCACCTTCAATTCAAATCTGATTGACCTGCTAATCAAAATTTCTTGATTGTCTTGTTAAATTATAAATATATAACATTTCCACAATATATTAAGAAATAAATCAATCCAAAATATGAAGATTAGATTGACAAGATATGTTCTTCAAGATTCCATACTAAATTTATTATTGGCTCTAAAGTTTCCTATTAATGAATGTTAGACAGATTGACCTTGTTGTTCCTTGGTGTCTGTTGTTCCTGTTCTAGAAAGTAAAAACAATATTTACTTGCATCTTATTAATATGGAAATTCACTCTTTTATCAGATTTTCAGAAAATCTCATCAGAGCCTATAGCATATTACTTCTGGCCTGAAAATTGGAATTTATACAGGGCTGCAGGTAAGGAAATTTCACAACTGATGTTTTGTTATTTGTTATAAACTGTTATAAACTGTGGCAAAAACTGGTTAAATGGTCAACTTGCCCATCTTCGATATGGAAGTATAAAGAGACTTTGAGAAACAAATAATTTTCCTAAACCTATAAAATGTAGGATAGCACCAGATACATAAAATATGTCATTCCATAAAAGTTAACATGTTTAGATGTTTTATCAGATATACAAGATAATGAAAAAGTTCAGGTGTTGTTTTCTGCCATGATATATAAATATTTGGAATAAAATATTGCAAAAACACAGAAAAATTTGAGATACTTTAACTTAAACATTCTTTTCATTCATTAACACAACCAAAAATTAAACACATTAGCTAATATTAATAAAAAGCAGAAATATGAATAGAATGAATACAAGAAATATTCTCAGATAATTCCATTTATCTTATCATAACTGGTTAAAAATATTTTCAATGTAACATTTGCAGGTGAATTTGAATTGGAAGTTAATACCTTTGGTAGGTCCTTTCCTGTTCTGCATGGCCTGTTGCTCCTCAGTAATATTTAAACGTCTAACGACATCTGCCAGAGCGGACTTGAGCAACTGAATGTCATCTTCCTGCATCTGAACACGTTGTTCAAGTGAAGCTATGCGGTCTGTCACCTCCATGCTGCTGGCAGCAGAAGCACTGTCATCTAAAAATACATATATATTTTATTATTATTATTTCATTTAAAACATTTATATTGCTGCTTATCATCTTAAAGAACTTTGGACTTACCTCAATTAAAAGTTGAAACCCCAAACCTTACTTTGAAGTCTTGTTACATTATGCTTGCTTCAAGCAGTGGTGGAATTCAAATTTTTTTACTACCAGTTCTGTGGGCATGGGTTGGTGGGTGTGGCAGGAGAAGTATACTGTAAAATCTCCATTCCCTGTCCACTCCAGGGGAAGGATACTGCAAAATCCCTATTCCTTCCCAATCAGCTGGGACTCCGGAGGCAAAGAATAGATGGGCAGGGCCAGTCAGACATGGTATTTACCGGTTGTCTGAACTACTCAAAATTTCCGCTACTGGTTCTCTAGAACTGGTCAGAACCTGTTGAATACCACTTCTGGCTTCAAACTAAATATTGATAGATCTGCAGCCTAAACATAATTGTAAAAGCTATCTGAAGAAATCTATTCTCTCAAAACAAACAGAGAAAGGTACAGGTATGTTGTTGCTTTTATTAGAAAACAATCACTCCTGTCAAAATGGAATTCAAATAATTATCCTTTAAATTGAAACATTCTGCCAGTAATTCATGGAGAATATAATTTACCCTTCCCTCTGCAGGTTTGTATATGTGGTCAAAATATAATTCAAAAAGGTGCAGAAAGGTGATTTTCTCCCATTAATTATAGATATCTTCATATAAATTGTGTGATCCAGATAAACCTGGACAAACAAAAAATACTACAGAGGCTATTTCCTGGCATATTTGTTATAGACTAAAAAGCAGGATCTTTATATTAATTCTTGCCAAGAAAACTGCAGGGAGCCTCTGAGAATTGGAACAATAAAATGGAAAGGGGGGGGGGTATTTAGTTCATCACGGATTCCCATATGCTTGCACAAAATGCTCAGTGTAAGTGGAAATACTCATCACACCATTCTCTTTCTTATTGTAATTAATATGTGATGTCATTGGAAACATTCCTCCTCACAGTGTTTAGTTAAGCACTATGAACAATTAAATAGGAAGGTAAGCGGGGAAGGTTAAACCCATCTTTTAATTGAACTGAGCAAGATCTGAAGAAATACAAACCACATATAGTCCTTAGTTCTGGAAGTGCCAGAATTTCCAATGCTAAGCAACGTAAAGCACAACATTACATGACCGCCTTGATTACCAGTGAAAATTCAAACACTTCCAGTTGTCATCATTAAGCAAATCACTGTAGGTCATTAAGCAAGGATGTCATGTGGTTTCCATTTGCATTAATTTTGCTTCTGGGAAGTTGACAAAGAAGGTTGCAACTGGAGATCACATGACTGAAAGATCATAATTGCTGAGCTTCCAGATCGTGATCATTTGAGTGCAATGGCTGCAAATATGAGAACTGTCAAAACCAAGCCCAAAGATACCCAACACGACCCAAGGAAAATAACTTAAAATTTATCATTAATCATCGGTGTTACATAATATACCATAAAACATAGTTCTCAAAATCAAGTGTTCAATTACAATACAATGAAATATGGATTAAAACACTGCTGTCAGGATCTGACTGAAATTAGGAATGAAGATGGCCTAAGGCAGAGTTCCCCAACCTTTCTGACTTTTTCCATTTTGTTAGAACAAAACGCCTTTATGCATGTATGTGCATGTTCGAACAGGGCCAGGTGCATGCAACGCAAATGGGACCATAAGCACGCACTCAATGCAAATGGGGCTGGAAGTGCGCGCACGACGCTCACCATAACACTAGCACAAGTGGTGTATGTGCACACAGGCGAGTGCAGTAACCAGCCACTCATGTGGCCCTGTAGTGGGCTGCAGCCCACAGGTTGAGGACTCCTGGCCTAAGCCTACATGAGATAAGGAATATGAATATATAACACATGTACATGCACGCACACAAATGAACTTAAAGATATGTACATATTGATATGCATTGATCGTATTTTGGAAACCGTAAGCAATTTAAACAGAATTGTACATCTTATCTTTGATTTGTACTTGTCCAGTTTGTTCTTGTAAATTCAAGCCCCTGCTCTGGAGATTATTGAATTTAAAAGCAGTAGAAAAATGGAAGCAGCAAAGCTTGAAACAAAAGAAAATTTCCAGCTCCTAGTTTTCAAACAAAGTTAGGTCATCCCAGAATTTTTATATTTCCTTCTAATTATAGATGCTGATGTTGCATATTCTCTACTTTTGTGTGTGGGGAAGGCCTGTGAAGCTTAACCACAATTATCTCATAAACTAAGTCAGTCTCTAACTAAGCAATTTCTGCTGTAAACTCCAGAGTCTCCATAACGAAACGTGGAAGAGTTTGTTTTTCTAGCAATGCTAGCTGGAAGCAAAAAATATTCCCTAGTTTTGTCAGGACTGTAGATCATATGATTATGAATAGACAGACATCAAACAGTTCCTTGATATGTAGCTGCACAGCATATACTGTATACATTTGGAAGCTATAGCTGTGCAGTTTTCTGGATTTTTAAGAGGTGTCCAACTACTCAGTTGGTAAAGCTTTATGTTTTTCAATTAACCTTGCTTTTTCACCATAAAACATGATTGCGATAACCAAATTATATTTTTTAAATAACTACATGGGATTTCAGTCGTCAGAAATCTATTTTGAGCAAATAGATAATTGAAGAAAGAGGAATTTGAAAAGAATTATAGTAATATGAGATAAAAATGTTTGATTTGGAAAAACTTTATTCCAGGTTTATTTTTTATTTTTGAGAAAGGTAAGCAGTTATTCTAATGTCATACTTAGTCATATTATTTGTAGTAGCACAATTGTGAGTATAGATATATTTTGCTTTATTTTCTGCACTTAGTTTAAATAATGAAAGTAGCTTGCAAACATTAAAATGCAGCACACAGAAAATACAAATTAAGCATCAGAAACAATTAAGGCAAACTATTCAAAACTAACTTCTGTATCATTATCAGTCCCAATAAGTGAGTGAACTTGGCAACCTTTGTGTTCAGAAATAAATCAGGAATGGATCTGGATAGTATTTGAATGAGAAATAACCAAACTGCTAGGGCTAATGGCTAAATTGTAGGTCAGAAATTTTCACATTTAATTGTGAAAAAGTACTTGGCAGTTTGAACGTTGTGCAGGTTTGCAACTCCCTAAAGTAGCATTGCCTTTTCTCAGAATTTTTTTTTTTGAAGATTTACAAATAGTAGATTCTACCTTTTGAAGAACTTTTGTACATCCTTACTAAATATTTCTGAATAACAGAGTGGCAGTTCTGTAGTTTTGCCAAGAAAAAATGTGTAGATGCATCTAATCAAAGCTGAGTTTGTCTTAAGATTATTCATATAGTTACCTCATTAAGACTGATGCAGAGTTTGGTCACTGTTCATTGATAAGGTTTTGAGGAAAGAAATTGCTACTAACTGCTAGTTAAGTTGCTGCCCACTTCCATAATACCGGAGAAAGTCAAGTTTCGGAGGGAGACAGTGATAAGTGTCTGGAAAGTAGCAAACCTCTTTCTGTATACTGCCTTATTATCTTAGTGAAAATCAATTCCTGCCACTAACTGCATGTAAAACACAATATTACCAGGCATCCAAGGTCCTTTCCAACCCAATGATTACAAGATTAATTTTAAAATGCTTAATCTTGTGTTTCATGAATTAGGCTTATCTTCTTATATGGCTTTGTATGATAAAGACATAATACTGAACAAAAAGCATCCACACATGGATATTGCAATGAAATGTATGTTCAGAATCAAAAAGTGTTTTATACTTATCAATTTTTTTATTAATAAATTTGATTATTTTGTCTCAATTGGAAGAATGTTATAACCCATTATTATATTATGTTAACGTATTTTAAAATTTATTAATGTTATTGCTTGTTTTTGTTTTCATTCATTTTTATTGATATCATTATAGTCAAAGAGTTTTTTAAATAGTTTTCTAATAACAAACTTGTGCAAAGGGCTAATAGCATATAGCAGATATATTAAGTATAAAATACAGAAATGTCTCATTATGGAATGTAGTTGAAAATAAATTCAGTTGTGAATAAAATAACATTCAGAATCCTAAATTAAAGTATTGGATCCTAAAACTCAAACTGATATTCAAGGAACTATTTTCAAGGGCAGCGGGGCAATGGCCAAAGGGAATTTCGACATGGGCGACAACGAAGCAAGTTTTGCATGAACTCCAGGGGCAAACTGGTAAGAAACGGGCCGCTCTTTTTAAGTGTCTTTTAAGATAAACCAAACCCAAAACTACTGGAAACTAGAGTCAGGAGTTTATGCCACCGAAAAGGCTCCTCTGATACCGTAATAGAAGAGGAGAGAAAAACAGTTCTGGTATTTTTAAAGCAGTGTCTCTCAACCCTAGCAACTTGAAGATGTCTGGATTTCAACTCCCAGATTTCTCCAGCCAGTATTCCCTGGCTGGTGAATTCTGGGAGTTGAAGTCCAGACATCTTCAAGTTGCCAAGATTGGGAAACATTGCATTCTGCTAAATGACTTAAAACCAGACATTGGGAAACTGGTATCGCTTCATCAAGCCCATCCATCACATTAAGAATTTACTGAACAGTGAAGTAGTTACTAAATTTTACTGAGTTTACTACATTACTAGTTACTAAGGTTCTTGATAAATGACTATCAGACTTTGAAAACCTGGTATCACTGGATCATGTTCAACAATTTTATTAAATTGACATTAACTAAAAAGGTTTTTAAATTGGATTTTGAATAAATGTGCAATTAATTGTTATAGTTTTGAATTTTACTGTTACTATCTTCCTTCCGTTGTGCAAACCGCCCAGTCACATGACCCCCCCAGCCACACCTACCAAGCCACACCCACAGAACTGGTAGTAAATGGGGATGGTGGACTGAAAAAGTTTGGGAACCACTGCACTACTTTCTTCCTTCTTTTAAATATACATAAGTCGATAAGTATATGTACCCTATCATTATACTGCATTTAAAT